CTACTACTACTACTACTACTACTACTACTACTACTACTACTACTACTTAACTACTTGTCATCGTCTGTGAAACTGGCATATAGACTGGGGATGAAAGTACATTGAAGTACCAGAACCAAAAGCGTTGGGTCCTGGAGTTCTGGCCTAAAAAGTTAGCTTTGAAGCAGATTGCTTCCCAGTTTTTTGAATCCTTCCCATCCGAAACAAAAGCGTCGCGTTTAGAGCGCGCAGCTCTGAATGTTCACCGGTCCGAGGCGCAGCTCCTCCACGTAGTCGGTCGCGTATTTGTGCGCGTGCACCTGGACTGGACCTGCCTTGGAGATGATCTCGCAGAACTCCTCGAGTGCTGAAACGTATGGCGCGTGCACCGGTGCGGGACGGACCGGGACGGAAGGATTGAAGTCCACCGGAAGGAGCGAGACCTGAAGCTGTCTATAAGGGAAAGGAGTCGTCCTCGTCCCTGGCGTTTTTGATTGGTTGACAGTGGCTTCAGAGTAGATGGCACAAGTATGCAGTATGCAAATATGGCAATCTGCAGGGTGGACAGTCTTGCCTTCCCGTGGACCGCAAGGATTTTGCAGAAGCTTGTGCTGAGCAAGTCCCCGAGATGTGTCCACCGTGTCCTTGGCTTCGCGTTCGGCCGCTGGAAGGAACAGCACTCTGCTGTAGCAAACCGGCTGCGCTTGGTAGAGGAAGGCCAGGAAACACTGCAATACACTGAGAAAACATTCTGGGGGGAGTGGTCTGATTCGTCTGCCCTCTCCTGGGTGAAGAAACACAATTCAACCCCGGAACATACCCTTCATCGAGCTGTCAACCATCAGCCTGATGTCATCCGTGTTCTGCTTACAGGTCCCTTTCCACACAAACTGTCCCACCGACCTCCAAGATAGTCTCACTTCCAAAGGAATTTTCCAAAAGAAAGCCGACATGCGGCACACTCTCCGTTTGAAGTGCGGTCCATCTCAAGCGCCTTGATTCTCAGACCCGAAAAAAGCTCACTTTCCTCCTCCTCCTCCTCCTCCTCCTCACGTCCGCGCACACCCCGCGACGGGGTCCACGTGTTCACTGCCCAGACGCCAGAGGCACATCTCGCAGATCCAAAGCTCATGCGGAGGACTACGAGCCGTGCGTTCCTCAGCTGAAAGCCGTGCGGTGAACATGAAGTAGAATGGGCTGTGTACCTTGGGTATAGCATTATTGATTATCCCATTACCAGTAAGAGTGGATGATGGTTGGTGAGTTTTAGGTAAGACCAGGCCGCCCTTCTCCAAAATAGTGATAAGTGTTTCACAACTGTTACAGGTAAGAACGGACAGACCCAGGTCGAAGACTGCGGTCACAAGGAGTCGGCCGCCCAAGGCTCAAACGGCCACGCTGAGAGGTGAGAAAGAATGGAAAACCCCGACAGTCCTAGAGATTTCGTGGTCAAGATCAGATTTTATTCGACCCATTAATTAAGTCCAGCGTCTGGAATTCCATCACGACTGCCTTTGATTCTTTCTTTTTCATTATGCACCCATCAACTCATCGGAACTGGAATGTTTCTCGTGTGTGGTCGGGGACTGTCCCACCAGTCTACAGAGAGGTTTATATGTGATCCAACAAACCCGACAGGTTTGTAGAGACTTACGACTTACGGAAACTGTTCCCCATGGAAACCAACGGATTTCCCCATGCAAAATCAACATAAATCACCAATGTCTGGACCTACCTACCCATGAAAGGTGACGACCAAGGCTCATTCTGCAGGTATAGGGTTGAGCCTTGCAGCACGTAGTATGCTGCAGTGGCCCGGTTCCCGTAACAAAAGAGGACCTGAATTTTCCGAGCCCAGCTGGACGCGGGACGAGCCCAGTAGACCGAGCCCGGACGGATTCAGCCGACAGCCCCCGTATGCAGCAACCCAGGCCGAGCGACGGCCCTGGGTGGCTTGAAATCGATTCGTACAACATCAGCAATCAGCAAAGAATCCTCAATTCACCCTAAATGGTGTAAGAAATGTATTGTCATCATGTGTTTTGGGGGGGGGCTGGGGGAGGGGTTCCCAAATCCTGGACTAAAGACCATCCAACTCAACCAAGGCAACTTAAGCTGCAACTGAGGGCACCGATCCATCAGCATGGGATGTCGTCCGTGCTTTGTCAGCTGACACCATTTCTGATCTACACTCATAGACTAGCAGTTAGAATTCAAAACGCTATGGTTGTATATTCTATCTGCTGGTCATCTACTGTAATGTCTCAAAACAACACTCTTCACCGTCATCGAACTGTTAAGCATGCCGGGAGCCGTGGAGGAATGCTTCCTGGTATTATTGATTATATAAGTCGAAGGCTTTGGCTCGCCTTCTTGGAGTTGAACGCCTAAATGTTTCCAAAAATTGCCCCCACAAATCCCTATTGGTCTACTCTGATGTTTTCTCGGCCGTATTCGGCCGTCGTCTAGTGTGCTTCCACGGCACATCGTCCTCTGCAAAGTCATGCGAAGAGATCGCTTGGCTGGCCAGGGTTTGCAAAACATGACCTCAAAGACCGGCACAAAGGGACATGTATTTTGTAATATTGTTTCTAGGTGTTTGACCCAAAAGAAAGCTGTGGGGTGTTTACTACCCCGGAACTTTTCTCTAGAAAGTGCCGTGTTGGTACACGGTGAAGATCGTGATGATAAATCTACTGGATCCCTGTGGAAGAGTTCTTACATCTTTGTTATAGTTGTCTTTCTTTTCTGAAACGGCCGCCACATGCTTTGCTGCGAAGTCGGCATCTCTTCACAACCCATGTGAGACAACACAATGGGAACCCAACTGTGCAACCGATTCGTCTCGTTCTTCGCCCGCGTGAACGACGTTCGACGAAGGACTGTCCGCACCGAGTCGCCTTCCTGAAGGCTTAGGGTGTTGCTCCGCTTCAAGATGGCTGCCTTGGGACATTGGAACCGCGAAACCGTCCAGGTCTTGGCCAAATGACTTAAGACATGTCACCCGCAGCGTTTGGGTTGATTCCTCGTGCTTTGCGTGGTTTGGGCTGGTGCCAGCCTCCTTCAACAGGACCGAAGCCATTGCAATCAACAACGACAGGAACATGGAGAAACACAATGTGCTGCCGGGCCACAAGAAAAGGCATCTTACCTTAGAGTTGCTGCGAGATCCGAGTGGAACAGCCAATCATCGAACACGATCGCTTGGAGCAGTGCGATGCAACCACTCGGCATGGGGTGAACATCTTCGGGTTCGGCTCTGTTTGAGCACCTTTTGGATTAGAAAGTCTGTTCATACCACCTGCAATCTGCATAGCAAGAACTCAGTCGAGTAGCCTTGGATGACACACAGCCACCCCACCAATTGGGTGTGAACCGTGAGGACTCCACAGACCCGTGAGTCCATCTTGTGCAGAGCCCTGAGACGCATAAGTCCTGTTGCCAACATATACAAGCAGTAGTAGTGATTCACAGAGCAGCATATCGCTCTGATGAAGGGCTATTAAAGTCTATTCAGAGTCTACTTCCCCCAATAGCTTCTCCCATCTGATCTCTCTAGGCAGCTGACTGAGATAATCATTGTAGCGTGCGAGCTGAAGTTCTGCCTCTCTCGAGAGGCAGCGCCACGAAAACCAAATGGTGGAGATGTTCCGAACAAATCTGCACCAGGTTGAATTGATTCTGCGTGTGAGCAGCTGTAGCCCTTAAGAGCCGGTTGCCCCGGTGCGTGCCCCCATGCCTGGTAGCTGTGCTTGTAGCTATGCGGTTTGGGTGGTGTGTGTGTGTGTGCATGAGACAGATGTTTCGTAGATTCAATTACAAGGCTTTTTGCTCTAAGCTTCTCTTGGTCCGCTGTGAGCATGGCAGGTCCCTGCTCATCTGAAAAAAAAATGAAAAAAACACGTTGGACTTGTGAGTTGGGCTGCAGAAGGTCCATTCGTGCAACAAAAGATTTCCCATCTTGATTTCTTGAAATAGGACGGAGCCATACTTTAAAGGGCCTCCCTACTGGGAGAACTCTTACACAAAACTTACACCAGGAAGGTGTTCGTTCACCAGGTCTTCGCTCGTCGCCCAGGCCCGAGTCCGGGTCTAACCCAGACCCAACCCTTTCGCCGGGTCCAGGCCTGAAGGGATTTCGAGAGAAAGTCTAAGATGTATGGATCATCCACATTTGCTGACCTCTGATGGTAAGTGTAGTGAAGAAAGCGCGTGATACCTGGGGCGTGGTGAAGAGCCGCAAGATGAAGGTAGTGGCTGTGAACACATCCAGACATTGTGAGAGTGTACTGAGCATATCAAACACATGCAAGGTACTCAGCACTCGGTGCAAATGTGGTGTTTATATCGTCAGTTATAAGTTATAAGTCCACGCGAGGGGCGTGCAAGAAACCAGTTCCGAAAGTCATCTCGTGTGAAACAACACTTCGATATGCCCGCACCGCTTTGATCCTTCCGAAACCGAGGGACTGGATACACCATAATTGATTTACCACTTCATACCACTACCACTTCGCCGTGTGTCCCATCCATTTCCGTTGCTCCCTTCCGTCTTCTCCGAGGGTCGCTGGCCCAAATTCTCTGAGATCTTGTTCATGCGGAGGAAGCGTCGCAGCAGGCCAAACTGCTGGGTCCTCACATTGCCGGTCGCAGAGTCCCACGAATCAACTGTTTGGCTAGGTTGGGGAACCGAAACTTGGGGTCTCAGGTGGCCACCCTCGCTGGTTGGTTCCAAACAAACTTTGGGTAAACATCCATGGTTTTGCCAAGTGTTTACATCCGCAGCTTTTTGCACAACATATATATCTGTTGACCCAAGGCTTTGCTGGTGTTCTTCACCTTCCAAGGTTCTGCTCCATCCGCTTGTTCTGCAAGGTACTCACCAAGGAGGTCATTGAACTGATGATCGACGAAAAGGTGATCAACGAGACCAACGCGACCACCACACCTGGGTCGTTGTGCAGGAACGCTACCCATCCCAACAAATCTCTTCCTACTCCGTCACGAATCCGCTAGGGCAAAGTCTGCTTTGCATCAAACTAGATGAAGTCACCTCTGACTACCTCCCATTTCCTCTCTCAAAGTCTCCATGACTTCGCCTCACCTTTTAGAACTTCATCCTTCGACTCCCCAGTTGAGTCATGTTCAGTAGGGCCTACTACAAGGACTCTGGGGTGCTGCGGGATTTGAGATTGGCCAGGTCGCTGTAAAGCCCTTCCGCCTCATTCACAGCTTCGATATTGGTCCCTCCAATGCCCAACTGGGAGAAGGCCCAGCGAAGGCTGTGAGTGTACTGCCTCGCTTCCGCGCTTGAAAAGGCACCGCAATGTTTTCGTTTGCATGGTTTGAACATATGCAGGGTGGAAGCAGTGAGTGGTTTCTGGCATGTGGAAACTCCTGGCCAGAAACCACTCATGCCGTCCCCAACCCCGGCCATATAGAACGGTGCATCCTGCGGATGAAAGAGACCCAAGTCCTGATCAAGTATGGTGAGGTTACATCACCAATCCCATGATGGGAATAAGCCTCTTCTTGCATGACCCAAAACTGGGATGATGTGGTTCCCCAGGTTTGTGGGATCTTAGTGACTGCGGAATATGTGTTTCCAGGAATCCGACCGAAGACCGGTTTGGTGGCAGTTTGATTGAGCAAGGCTCCTTGATTAAGCACGGTTGGTTGGTCTGGCAAGGTTGGTTGAGCAAGGTTTGTTTGGCAAGGCTGGTTGCTTCATAAATGGGTCAACTAGACATGGGGAAGGCCTGGTTTGAGATGGGCCTGATATCTTTATTCATTGGTGTTTGTTTTGGGCGCTTGAAACTTGATTGTCAACCACATGTTAAATCTGTGATGATTGATAGTGTGCTTGGAGAAGTGGATACAGCATCGTGAAGACCAGGGGCATCAATGGTGTGACCAGGGGCATCAAAGGTGTACGTTGGAGATACATGAGTCGTTCCACGGCTGCAAGTTCGATCTTTTTCCACAGTCCGAAATTCCGAAAGATCAGCGTGCAAGAAAACAAGTGGACCTCAAACACAGTTTTTCGTTGACCAGGTTTTCCGACACCCAGTGTTGGCAACCAACTCAGGCTTAACAAGCTCCGGTGTCCCTGACAGACGTGTCGCACCGAAACAGCCAGGGCGTGGCTGTCACACTTTATGAGGGACGCGGTTGAGACAGGCAAACCTTGGTGGTCGGTTCCTGGGTCCTCGAAAAGTGAGAGCCCTAAAGTTTCCAAGTTGATGAATGTTTGGCAACCCTCCCCACACTCCTTGCACCCTTTTTCTTGCAATGCTTGACAGACAGGGCCAAGCCAGACTTGCAGGACCACCCTGCAAGGCTGGCAGGCCACCAAATTCCAGGGCAGGCAGAAGGTGGGCGGGGTTTTTGCAAAAGAGGCAGCTTTCACCTGCCTGTAAGCAGCGCAGCACCAAGCTAAAGCTACCTCAAAGCTGCAAGAACAAGGTTTGAATTAATAAGCGCGGGAGCAAGGAGGGAGGAGCGGTCGCACGCTGCTGCACTTGGGTAGCAGGTTGGCCTAGATTTGATTTTAACCTGGGCCATGCGAAAGTGCATGTTTCCCATTGAGCTTTGCTTGAATTGCATTTTCAATTTCCTGCGCGCCCCACATGCCACCAAGCCAATTCTTAGACCTTATCCGGTTTGACTGGCTCCAGGCGACAAACGCCACAAACGTCTGGTGAAACTGGCGCTGGATATATACTGTAATTAAATTCGGTTCATGTTCTGGGCTGGCACAAAATCATCCTGATTGGGTGCAGAAACAGGCCAGCCGCACACTGGAGCATGCACCCGTCACTGTTTGCGCTGCCTTCCTGCATGTGGTTCGAACACGTCTCGAAATCACCAACGCTCTGGTCGGAGCACAAGCAAACATATTTCTCCTGTGTCTCAAGTAGGACGCGCCCCGCTCTCGCAACTGGTAGTGTTGAACCGATGCTCCTGAAGAGGAGCAAAGCGCTACATATTGACAATTTCCGCCCATGATATCGCACCTTTCCAAGGCCAGCTCTTTCAGTCGGAGGCCATGTGCCCTAGCTCAGCACGCTTGCGATGACATCTGACAAGCGAACGTTTGCTCCCAGCTCTCCTCAGCACGGCCAGCAATAACGGAGGTCAGATCACAGCTACCCCTACAATACAAGATATTGCGATCCACGGAGTTAAGCGGATTCAAAGGTCGATGGTTATGTGTCTTATGGTGTTTGCAACTTGAACCTTCCCCAACTTTTCAATTGCAAAACAATCAGTTGTCAGCCACGGAAGCATGCTTTTACTTTTGTGAGTTGGACCACATAGGCCGCGCAGTAGTTGCCAACTGCCCTCTTCTTGTGTTACCTCTGGCCATTCGGCGAAGGGCGAAGATGCCGAGCATCGATCATTTGATTCGTCTTCAGCTCCACGAAAATGCATTGGGCCGCCTGGCTTTGGCCCATGGTTTCCTTAATCTGCTTTGTGACTGAGGGCCTTTCGGAAGAGGCATCATAAAGCCACCCAGGCCCGGACAGCCAGAAAGAAAAGAGAGGGCGCTCCGTCATACCAGCGCCAATATGTAACTAGTCAGGATGCGATCATAAACGCATACACTGCAGCAGCACTCCCTCAAGCGCTTGTGATGAAAACTGCCATAGCAGCCTATCACAGGGTGCTTGGCGCAATCTTCCAAGATCCGTTGTCCGCGAGCATGGCCATTCAAAGAACCTGCGGTGTTGGCCACAGCATTGAAGCTAGAGCAGTCAAAGAAACCGTACTCTGGAGGAACGTCAAGTCGTTGCATCTTTCAAGCCACAGATAGGTCAAGAGTTGTTGCGCGTCCTCCTTCTCTTTGTTGTTGGGGAAAACCTCGTGGGGCGGCCCGTGTGTCCCTGCGCAACACAAGCTACCGGCTTCATGAGCCAAGGAGCAAGCCCTCTTGCAACAGAAACTGACGCCCATGAGGAACAGCGAGAGCTGTTCTTTGCTCGAATGCGCCTCGGCACCTGGGCACCTGGGTGCTTTTGGTCTCAGAACCTGCTGGCTCAACTCTCCGAAAGCAATTTGCTTTGTCACAGTGACACCTGCCTGCCACTGTCAAGCGACCACCGTCAAAAGAATTGGCCAGGGCCGTGCGCAACACTTCGTGCGTAGCCAGACACTGCTGCCCTGCCCTGCGCAAGGACAAGTGAAAGTCACTGCCCACTTCTTCTAAAACAACAAATGCCCATGGCTTCCTTTAGGACTGGATGACACGAAAAGATTCCGCTCAGCCATCTGCATGTAACGCACGCCCTCACAAACACTCCACTGGCTTTGACTCACATTTAATCTCCCATCTGACCAACCAGAATTAAAGCTGAATCCAAGCCCTCAAGGAACACCACTGGTTCTAATTCAATTTCAAGTGGAACTGGAGACGCACGTTCCAATTCCAGTTCAAGTGGAACTGGAGATGCCGACCTGCCCTCTGCTGGGACATGAATGCAAGAAACAGGATAAATGTGAATTTAAGCCGATGCGCAATCAATATCAAACAACTGTCTCTCTGCACACAGCTTACATTCGGATGCAAGAGTGACTTTCCCACAAGGATGTGCGAAACCTTAATCTTCAATGGAAACCCCTGCTTCATTTCCAAAGCTTATGCGAAAGCCTAATCTTCAACACAACAACAGTTTGGAAGAAAGATAATCACCAAAGAAAACGGTTGTTTCAAGCCCGGCTGCTCGTTTACAGAGCATCGACTTCGGAACTTCAGAAGTTTCCAAGTCATGGTGGCGAATCCAGACCAGTTCTGCAAAAAGCCTCGTGAACCATCTTGGCAAGGAATGAGTTGCTTTCTCAAGTCTGGGCCCTTAATCTTCAATGGAAACCCCTACTTCATTTCCACAAGGATGTGCGAATCCATGTTTGGACGCATTGAACCATTCGTTTAGTCTCACCAACACTTCCTTCAAACTTCATGTGTTTTGTCCATGGCCTTGAGTGGTCAAATGCATCGAGATAGCCACTCGACTGCCACCAGTCTTTGAAGCCCATGTCCTCAGCTAACCCAACGCCTGGTTCAGGCCTGCAACCCAAAGGTTTACAGATTCTTTTTCAAGGGGTTAAACGATCAGCACCTTCTTGATCGTCTGGGCCGCTTCGTTTCCAGAGACCAGAGACAAGAACCATATTTCTTTGCCACACTAAAACATCGCCAAGCCAGTGTCGCGGCTGGTTGCCAGGTGGGCTCTGTCAAAAAATATATTTGCAAACCCAATCCATTGATGATCCTGAAAGGGTTCTGACAATTTTTATGATGGTACAATGTAATGTTGCCGAGTTCCCACACTGTGGCGCCGCAGTCGCCAGCTTGTTCTGAAAGTCGACCTCTTCAGGTGGGCCTTCTTCACATTCAGAAGGCACCGAGCGCGCTCATCAACGAGCTTCATCGGGCAAGGCATTTTAAGGTTGCGGTAGTCGTTCTGTTATCTTCAGTGTTGTTGCCTAGTTCTCATTGTTTTCATCCTATTTGACAACATATTTGGGATTATTGTTGAGTAGTTGTTGTTGTTGTTGTTGCTGCTGCTGCTGTTGTAGTTCGTAATTGTTGCATTTATTTCTTCGCAATTTATTTCTTCGCAAAGCTGGCTTGAGCCATCTGTGCGGCTTGACGTAAACCCGGTTTTCAGCCAGATGTGCTGCTTTGCGACAAGGAATTTATCATCCTATCCGCTGTTGATGCCCAGAAACAAGCAGACATAGCACCTATGGTCAGCGTCTCCTCTTTCCAGCGTCTGTCAGGCGCAACTTAGTCTCCCCACAGCAGTCAGATGCATTTCTGCAAGGCCTGCTTGGACAAAAGCGAGACATGCATGGCGCCTAGTCCATCCCCAACCGAAACAGTTTGGGTTTGGGATGGTTTATCTTTCTGGTTTTGTGTTTGGTGGGCATCCCTATATCTGTTCCATCTGACGACACCAAAATCAAGCAACCAAAGCAAGAGAACCTAAAACAAAGAGAATGCATGCATCCTGTACAAAAGTTTAGTTTACTTCCAAACAAATGCCAACCATGAAGTCTCAGTGAGAAAGCTATCAAATAACTGTTGACATACCGTTGACCCTTGCATACCTGCTGTTTCAACGTATCACCAGCCCATGTCTCACCTCTCACCAGCTGAGATTCGGAATGCACCGAGTAAATCTCTCATTCGCCCGGCAGAGGTTCGTCCAGACCGCGATTGTCCACGCGGTCGTAAGGAGCGCGGATTCCATACGATTCCACTCTGCCTGTCACAGGATTAATGGCAAACAAA